AAGAATTATGGATAAATATTTCTATTAAAAGGTTTGTGATTTTTTAAAGATAATAGGTTACAAAACTTATTAAATTATATGTTTTTACTATGTGAAATAATATTATGAAATTTTCTGCTGGGATTAAATTTTATTATTAAAATATAAGAAGGTCCTTGTAAAAAATTTCTTTATATTATAAAAAATAAGTCTTTTTATACACTTCTATGACACATCTACAATTAAAAGCATGACATTTAGTATGATAAGCAAATATCTTAATATTGATATTATTTAAATGAATAAGGTTACATTATTGCAAATATTATATCAACTATGCACATGGCGATAATTAAAGTTTTTCAGAAATATGTACTTACAATAACATAAAAATACTCTGTAGTTTATGATCCGGCAAAATCGATGAAATATAGCACTCTTATTGCTATTAAACACGTCTTTCATATGCTTCTTACATATTTTGTGTTTATAAAATATGTTAAAAGTATCAGTTGTATACAAAAAACTGAAAGCCTATTGTTGTTTGTAAAGAATGTTTGCAAATAAAATATTTATATCACGAATATATAATGAATACCTTAACCGAGTTTAAGCGATAAAAATTTTACTTCAATACGGGAACGTTTCGATTTACCGCGCATCGATTTATGATTTGAACTACTACCTGAATATCGATCAATATATTCGATATAATATGATGCGAATTTCACACATATGTACATATGTAGTGATTAAACTTTATATGTAATTTTTGAAGTAAACACACTATGAAATAAGCAGTTATGCATACTTATATGTCATTTGAAAACAAGGTATGGAACAAAATAGATAAAAAATTAAAGATTTTATCTTCGCTACAAAAGGCACCCAATACAGTATATTTAGCAAGTAATAAAATACATCAGTGTTAGACACAGTACAATACTGAAATAATCATATTATTAATGTAAATATATAATATATACATTTCGTTATAATGATGCGAATAAATCTATAGATTAAAATAATCTATTTAAAAAAATATTAATAAATATCTACGAGCGTGTACACACAATTAAGTGACTATTTGTGTATCTTAAGGTACCGTGTTATTCCTTACTATCATTATTAAATTCGACATCCCTAATTTAAAAGCAACAACAAACAAAAACTATAGAAAATAGAATATTTACTTTTGTTTCGTTTAGTCTCACTTTCACAAGAGCGGGATGCTCAGTCAGATGCACCGATTTCGTATGGCATGCTTGCAATTTTCTATTCGATTTCGATCTATCGAACGATAGTGTCGATTCTCGAAAAATGTGATCACGATATGTAATACAACTAAAATACGATTTGTAAATTAAAAAAAACGATAGAGGGATGCATCAGACTGTGCCAGGATATATTTATATATATATATTTTTTTTTCGTTAACTAACTATATAATCTACAACTACATTTTCTAAATACCTTAAATTTTTCGATCAACCCCAAAATACGAACTAAACGGAATTTGGTCATTATCCATAAGATATCATTCAAATATCTTGGCAGACCTTGGCAATAACAATGGCTTGATCTCGACTGACTTGTTTAAGCAGTAACAATACAGAATTATATAACGGGATAATTACTGATTGCTACATGCGCTAACGTGATTTTGCTTTCTTCGGTCGCTAGCTCACTAAGCGCATGACTATGATCGAAACCGATACAGGCGATTGTGTATTCATGATTGAATTTTTTAATTTAGAACAGGACGCAAAGCTTTTTATCGCATATGTAATTGAATTATGTACGAAAATTGCGATATATATTTATGATGATATATTTCAATTTTATGCCAAAAATATCAGTCAACGAACCATAATCGAACCTGCACAGTTAAAACTATAAGTTTCTCGAACAAAAAGAAACTAACGTGAAAAAACGTTATTTTGTGTGGACGTAACTTAATAGTTTAAGCTAAACTTTTTAAAACGACCACACAACAATTATAAAAGAAATATTATTTAAATGTAGCTTGCTTCTCTTTTTTCTAAATAGAGAAAAAGAAAAAGAGATAAAAAGAAAGAGAAAGAGAAAGAAAAAGACAGAGGATAGAATTTGGCTTTCGTGTACAGGCCAGAGTTAGGTTTACATCTACAGGTGATAAAAGGTTTTACAAATGACTGACATAAAAAGAATATAATATTATATATATTTAATATATAATCTGGAAATAATATATATTTAGACTATCGGTTATATTACTTGTGGCTATATCGTATAAACCTTTAATATTACATTATATTACAAAGTGGTATGTATGTGTGCGCATTGTTTTGACATTCCTGAAAGGATGTGTTCTGTCGGACGCGCATTTTGTTGAAAACGCATTCGACAAGAAGACGAACAATGATTTTGATATTAATGGAATTCCTGAAGAGAATGATAATATGAAATAAAAATCGATCTTCAGGTTATACATATATATATAAAAAAAAAAAATCTTTGTATACTCGACTATGACGTAATTTAACGATTACGTCTTTAATTCATAGTAGTAAGCGCGAACACAATGTGGACATGGAATATCAATATTTATTCACTAAACATATAAATAAAGTATAAAAGTACCATACATAAATTGGTCGGTAATTCGAGATAATATTCTCAATCACTGATTAATCAGGAATGCCAATGTTTATGAGAATAATGGCAACCAGTGCATACTGTTTGCGATACTGCAGCACATTGTGAAACATGCAGCTATACACATATAGATTCTGTCGGAACACATTTGTATTTATGATCTTTCTCTTGAGCACGTTGGTGGATTTGAGGAGATAGTATAAGAAAATACACGTCGCCGTTACTTCTGAAAAATCAATGGTTTATAAAATTCAGACGTGATAACTATATATCCGATCGCTTATAGATCAATGAAATTCGAAGCGTATCAAAAGATAAATTCACTTGAAAGTTGAGCTTTCTGTCTGGGACACAAAGGTATACCGTGAATGTGTGTGAATATGTATGTATGAGCATATATATATGTATATATATACGCATGAGTGTTCCTCTTTACAAACTTTGTAACACGGAGAATCCGTTTTAAATCTTTTGCAAGAGGCGCTTGTTACGGAACTCACGTGATAAGCGTAATACAGTAATCTAATTGGACTGTGTGTTTACACCATTTTACACATCACTCATAGCTCATGGTCATTCATCGAACTATGATTGCCCAAGAAAAATACGCGCTCTAATACTCTCTATTCAGTTATACGAATACGTAGACGTTGCCACTTTCCATTGGAAAACTGTATGCAATTCGGGTGAATCACACTGCATTCACTATAAAACAACTTGCAAGTGAATCGACAACATGTATATATTATATATATATATATGTACTCTTCTATATCAAAGTCACGCCATCTTTTTCAGAGGGTGACACTTATAAATTAATAGACATGTCTTGATCATATGGAGTAAGATTCGTGTCGGACGAAGAAGCCGAGGTAACTGTTGCTGTCGCGGTTGCGCTGGTCGGTGATTGAAGAGGTGTCGATGTCGTTGGCAAATGGTAGGTGGGACTTTCTAGAGTAGAGTTCCAATGACTTCTTTCAGTTCCATCGCCACCATCATCCGAGACGATCGAAATATCAGCTATTATGCCACTCTCTGTAATTACATCAATATATTTGTAAAGATATAAATACTTATAATCGTCTGACTTAAAAAAAAAAAAGAAGAATTATGATACATACCAACACTACATTGGCTATTGAGGGTAGTACTGCGATGATGAGGTCGAGGACTTGTATCCAAACCAAGATTCAGTGTCGTTGGAGGGCCGCTACTTCCGCCGCTACTCGATGATGAACTCACGGAAATAACACTATGCGGCCTTCTGCTACAGCGTCCCGAATCCTCTGACATTGATACTGCTATCGAGTTTCTAAATCTAGGTGCTATTTAATAACAAAAAATTAAATTAATCGTTTTTTAATAACAAAAATTAAATTAAGCTTATCAATTGATTTAAATTCATATAAAATCATTTAATATAAATCTTATTTTGTTTAAAATACTTGTAATGGATTGCAAACTTACTTTTCGAGAGTTGAGCTACACTAATAGAACGATCATTAATTTGATCCGCGCTAGGCCTAATGTCCAAACAAGGTTTATTTCCGATGCCCATGCTCGACATTTCCGCCAGGCGCACTTCTGTCATCATAAAACGTGTGTTCTCATTAAATTGAGTCGCACAAGAAACTATGTTTCAAAATATACCTCTGTTTCGCAGCGCCTGCTTCCATAAAAGGTTGCTCAGTTCCTCCGTCCAGGCTTTCTTAATCTCTTCGCTTGCACACTGCAATGTGTACGTATCGCCTGGTTTCCTCTTGCGGAACCAAATCTCGAACTTCGTAGGTGAGTCCGCGATCACGGCTGTTAACCCGATGTCCGTTGTTTTGATACTATGCTTATAGATGTAGATATCGAGGTTCTGAAAAGATCGATCAATTAGCATGCATACAGTGTATATCTAAAATAAATATACCCAACTATTATAAATTAAAAGACTCACCTTTCTGTCGGGGAATCTTCTCGCTTTGCTGAATAGAATAAGGTCTTCGAACAGGAAAACTTGTCGTAGGCACTTTTTGCCTTTACCCTGCCATACTAAGAACTCGTTTTGACGAAGCAGTCTTCCTTGTTCCTTCACGTTCACCTACAAATTACGTAAACATTACCGTCTATAATGTCGCGAGCCTCCGACAAAGAACGCATTACATACACTCTCCATTGCCATTGTTGAAACGATTGTCTCTTCTACTATATCATTATTAGTTAGTTACATTACCGTGTGACTACGTATTATATTTTATTATAAAATACATGGACGTACATCGCAATCTCGCAGTGAATCCATCGCCAACAGGTCGTTTCCGTGACGTAATTGGAATCGTACCATCTGTTCAGCTGCCCTCAATTCTGCTTCTCCCTCGACTATTGGCTTCATACCGTCGTCCTTTTCGTCCTTGTCGTCTTTGCCGGACATTTGTTCCGAGAGATCAGTGCCCGCTTTGACCAACTGTTGCAATAGCAGTGCGTACTTTCCCATTCGTTGAACTGGCTTCAATAGATAACTAGCGAGGTCCATCTTGTCACCAAGCTCGAGCTGCTTTTGCTTAAAGAACGCAGTACCGTACTCGGCCATCAGGGAATCTGAATTTGGTTTGTTCTTGTTGTATAACGCATAAAGATAGAATTTCTTCTCCTGTAACATAAATAAGTATCAAATGTAATGATTAATGCTATTAAAAATTTTTAACTCTAAACATTAAATATTTTCTATACTAAGATTACTAAGAGAGTTATTATTAGAGATTACAATCATTCATCACTTGAAACATTATGAAACTTATTGATATGTTTATTTTGATTCTTTCTTTTTCGTTTATTATGTTTGGAAAAATATGAAAAGAATTCAGAATTATAACTCAAAATTTTTTAATTTCACTATTCTATAAATTTATCTATTATTTTATTGATATTTCTAAAATTAATTGTACAGATAAAGAAGAAAGAAAAAAGATACTCACGTGTCTAAGGAAACATTGTCCCACATTCATTGGCGACTGCTCGCATTGTTCCAATTCCCGTAAGAAATGCTGACCATGGAACTCGTATATCTTCTCGACATTGCCGAAGATCACGTTGCGCTGTCCCCTGAGCGCTTGAGGAATGTCCTCTCTCACCAGCTCCGGAATATAATTCTTCGGTGACAAAAACAAGTTACGGTAAGATTAAATGCAACTCGAACGTGTTAGAATATACGAAGTGAAACAGTTACCTCTATTATGTATTCGAGGGACTTCACGTAGTCTCGTTCGGTCTGTATCATTTCTCTCATTATGAGCAGTATTGTTCTGCAAGGTGAAATTCCTCGTTAACCACAGTGCCGTGCACGTAACAATTCCGCATAATCGCACGATAGAATTATGGTATAGATAAGCATTGTTAGCATGGCTAAACTGGGGAGGAACACGGAAGAAGAATCGTACGAAAACGTAACGCGAGATCCGTCATCTCTCACGTACAAGCGGGGCGAATATACTTGTACGTATTCTTGGTGAAAATTTTTTAACAGGAATGTTAATCAGACTGGCAACAATAACTATGCTCATCCATTAATTGTACATTATACATGCACGTATAAACTTGTTACGACAGTAAACAGTAAACTGGAGTGGAAAAAAAATACTAGTTTAAAACAACGTAATTATACATACTTTTTCGCCTTCATTCCAGGAGCGATGCTGGCAGCTCTGTGAAGGTGTGAGTTCACCGGTGGCTTCACCAACCGTCTAGGAGCAGGACTTCGGGGTGGCGTTCGTGGTGGAGAGCAATCGAGCAGCTGTTCGGCGCTCTCTCGAAGCTCTGCAATGTTGTCCAGTACAGGACGACCGCCGCTTCCTGTCGATCCTACGCTCTCCATGGGACAAGCGTACGATGCATTACTGTCGCTGTCATCCCATGAAGTTCCTGGAATAATTGTTGCGCGTTACAGAGAATATAACCGAATGATAACTGAATACGAGAATCTTGAAAATATTTTTCAATTTCGAACAACTTTTTTTTTTGGTCTTTATCTTGAAATAATTTTTCATATCTTATTTTGAATGTTAATAAACGAAACGAGGTTACATAAATTATACATGAGCATTCATATTAATAAATGTTTATCAGTTTTACATAATTATAATAGATCATTCAGTATTATAAAAGTATTCTTCTATTCATTTTTAATAGAATATTGGCAGCAATAAAATAAAAGATGGTAAAAACAAGGAGATTTACGTACTCTTGGTCAAACTGTCTTCCCAAGAGGTGGCAGACTCCGAGGAGGATCTTCTTCTGGCGGGGCTGCCAGGTGCGGAGGTGGTCCTCGCCATCTCGAGCGCTTCCGCACACTTGTTCCTGGCGATGCGGCATTGTTCCAGAAGGATTTCGTTACCGAGCTTCTCGGCGAGTGCCATCATTTCTGTGAAATGCTCGGGCGGCAAGGGTGGTCTGGCCATCAGGAACTGCTGGGCCCCTCGTTCGCCGGCAAGGCGTGCCTCCTGGGCCCACTCGTACGCCCGATCTTGAAGCAGGCAACATCTCGACGTGTCTTCGAGGTACTCGCGCCTGTCCTCTAACCGGGAACCGAATCCTCGAAGGTGATGCTTCAAGGATCTTGCGAGTTCGCGAAGTCCGCTCGCACTCGCCGCCTCGGCAAGGTCGCTTCCTTTGTCAAGATGTCTCTGGAACGAACAATTATCCTTCGATTATTTTTCATTATAATTGAATTATATCGATGATCTTTATTTTCTGAAAAATTACTAAATGTTCAAAAATATATAAAATATTCGAAAGAAAATATATATATTTAAAAGGTGAAACAGATACTTATTTTTTTCGAAATTTCTGTAGTTATATTTATACAAATTTCAATATATATAAATATACCAAATGATTATTTTCGATCTAATTGATCGGTGTAAATTACTATTTAATAATTCTCAATTATCAGTGATATTTAATCTTAATTTTACAACATTTTTAATCAAAACTACCTAAAAAGATTTATATTTTATTCAATATATAATATAATAAATAATTATACATTTGAAATATAAACCAGTTCAATTTTTAAATAATTGCAAGAACAAAAAGATTAAAATTAATCAAGTTAATTCACCATTGATTAATCCTGGTTTCAAATATTTTAATGTTCATTCTCCTTTTTGCTCATTTCATAATAACTGAAGATATCGAGATTGTGCTATAATAAAAGATACACACTGTATCACCATACGTCTCGGAAGATTGATTACTATAGAACAAACAGATACACCAGACGAGCATGAGATCCACGTTATTCATGGATTTATTGTTTCTTCTCGGATGCGGTTCCCCCAGAACAATGTTTGTTCAGATTTGCCATGAATACAATATTGTGTGTAAACACACGAAAGTATTTCATCGGTCTGGGCGTAACAAAAGAGAACAATAAAGACCCCGCTCCTTCGGTGGAAACGATATCCTGTTCTGGGCGAATCGAACTGGAAACTCCCGCGGTGCACTAGGGAACCGTGTCTAATGGCGAGACCATAAATCGACATATGGGGAAAGGAACGCGGTGATGAGCGAGGGAGGAGTTCGTCCTCCTCCCTACAGGACGACATTGTCTATTTGTGCATGGAACATGGAGACTGTTTACACAAAATCTACAGGGTGTTATCTATGAGCCTACCATTGGTTTGTAAGCGTGATACACATTTTGACTTGAAATTTATCAATCGCAAAAATACACTCAATGAGTTTAATACAATAAGTTATAACAATAATTTTGTACATGAAACGTTATGAATATATACATATAAAGCATAATTTTTTTAGTAGGAGAATATCACTTTGAAGAGATAAAATCAATCCTTAAAATTTATCTAATTTCAAAATTGAATGTTCTATTATCATATTAAAAAATATTCTTAGGTAGAATTAAATTCATAAGATTAAAAAAAAAATTATATTTGAAAACTGATAATAAATTTTAATTGAAAAAATTTCTATGCATATAATTTATTCTGCATATAAACATTTATTAAAATCAAAATTTTTTAGGAAAGTGAATTTCATTAATAATAAAATAATAAATGAAGAGTTTAATTAATTTTTTGTATTACACAAATATAATATAATACAATAGTTATTATTTGAAAAATGATTATAAAATTCAAACATTGTTTTATTTTAAAAATCTAATATATAATCTAGACAAAACATTTGTCACAATATCAATTTTTAATCTCGATATCAAAAAAAAAATGTTTTTTTTTCGCAATAAAATAAAACTTTCGATTCGAGCGATAGGTTTTCAATATATTTTTTGTGACATTATCGGTATCCTTTTTCCCAGATAATACGTAGCAACGATCGTGAAAGCATGAAATCCCATTGGACATGGATCAGTAACAAGATCCTGGAACAAGGACGATCTCGATGGAGTAGCCGTGACGAAAGCGCATCACGTACATTAGAGCGTGTGATCCGTCCATAAATTAGATACATGCAACTGTCTGCCTATGGTACAAATTTACGCCTTCGACCATGTCGATCTAATACGTGTTCCTTTAAATCCATTGAACCGTAACTTTCCTGATGTATCGAATGGATGCTTATCCACCAGACCAGCTATTTGGATTAGCCGACGAAACTCAATCACGAGTCTTGATCAGGGCGATTTCCGGGGAAAAAAAAGGTTTCAAAGCTGAAGGGATAGCAGAAGGTATTTAGAAAATTGAATTCGAGAAATCGTTCCATTCCCGTTGCCAGAAATACGCTTGATCAAAGTTTCTACGTTTCGTGCTTCACGGTCGACTGAGAGCGTCATTGCCGCAGGATCTCGAAGCTCGAAGGGTAGGAAAATACCTCGCCTTTCTGTGTTTGCCCTTACTACTCGGACACGTGGCTCCCTTAGGGCCTCGAGCCATCGCAAATGCTTCTCTTTGCTTTTGGAACGAAGAATTGCGACACGTGCAGCGGTGCACGTTAACGATGTGTGTCGAGGATATCGCTGAAGTTTGATCCTAACGAGCATTGCTAACTAACGCCATCATGGAATTAATCGTTTCAACGGTATCGATATCGCTGAAATTTTAATATCAAGTATATAATAGAACTGGAAAATGTGTAAATCGTTACGTATCGGTAAAAGTAAGATTGCGTGTCAGACTGGTCGGTAAGACTTCTTGTAAAATTTGAAAAAATTACGAGTGGATTGCGGTTATTATGTTTGCCAAGTAATCGAAATTATAAGTCAATTATGTAACACGTTAATGGATATTATTTTACCAATTCATTTTGATGTAAATAGTTAAAAATTTGATGATGTTACAATATTGCATTATTGAAAATTAAATTTGAATTTTTCTAAAGTTATTCTTGGCATTTAGATCGTTATTTTTTACGTATATTTTTGATGATATTACAATATTGCATTATTGAAAATTAAATTTGAATTTTCCTAGAGTTATTCTTGGAATTTAGACCATTATTTTTTACGTATATTTTTTGAAGAATTTTGTTGAAAGCGATAAATATTATTAAACAAAATTGTTAATTTCATACTTTTCGATAGTATAATGTTATAAATTATTATAGAAAATTCTTATTATAAAATACAATGTCGTAATCAGCACGTCAATCTTTCGCACGGTAATTTCATATTTACATATTCAGATCCAATTTATTCACACATTCAAATACGTTTTTCCGCTTTTCCCCTTTACTTCGTGTAAAAATTTTTCTATAATTAAATTAATTTAAAAATACATTAAAATAATTGTCTCCCCACGACGAAAATATAATATTTTATTAAACCGATCAGTTTAAAAAACATACTTAACGCCAATGTCTCGATCGAGACACTAGTAATGAAAATGAATGGCGCCAATACCATTGCACGTAACTAGAATGCTTGACGAAGTTTCAATCAGGATATTGAACTTTTTGTATAGCATGTCGAATGGCTGGCACGATGCGTGAAATATCGCCAAGGGAAAATGACGAGGCGTCTCTTCATCGCGTTTAATCAACGAGATCATTCCTATGCGGGGCGCGTTCCCTCGTGATCCAGTCCACGATCCTCTCGAACGGAAATCTCGAAATTCGGATGGATCGGTCGACTCGAATTCGAGTGGAAATTCGCCCGCATCCTTATGAAATCGAATGGCCCGCATTCGATAGTACGAGAGAAAAAAAGGCGATCGAGGTAGCTATCGCGTCCCCGTTAGAGAAATCATTTCGCGTTACTTTGACGCAAGAAACGCCGCGAAAGTATGCGCGCGCACACCATATTTTGCTATATATTTCCATATTTATAAGCGCGTTACGAGCGCCTAGCATGCACGGTTCGTTCGCGGCTATGTTTAATTAATTTACTAGAGACACGATAACCTGTTGGTCGAATTCTTTCATTGACCATAACATGAAAGTTTTTGTAACGAGTCGTTTGATAATGTATATTTTTTTCTAATTCTTTGGTTATTTCAGAAAGAATAAGTTAGTAGGTCAAAAATACATCGAATTAAGGTAAAAATTTATTCTTTATTATCTCTTATTATTATCTCTTATTTGGATCAATTGTTTGAATATGAACGAAATAACTTGATTTTTATTTTGATTTTTATTACGATATATGGTATAGTATAATAGATATAGTGGAAATTAATTGATCTGTTTAAATCTTAAATATTGTTAGTTTAATATTTAATAATAAATTAATATTCTTATAACATTCATTTTTGTTTCTTGAGAATAAAATTGTAACGCAATTGATTATAAAAAATTGAAATCATTTATATTTTGTTCTTGATTATATCATTTTATACATCAAAACAATGTCAACAATCTCAATGAAAAAAATTTAATTATGAATTACCTGCTTATAATATTATTATATGAATATTTTGAAAGGCAAATTTTCATAATTATACGAAAAAAGAAATTCGAAAAATTATATTTTATAATTTGACTTGATAATTTATTTTATCGATATTATGATGAAATATAAAGTAATTATGTATAATCGACATATTTAAAAGATAAATTTCGATTTTATAAATCAAAATAAACAAAAATTGATCTCACTTCATCTAACACGGATTTAGAATTTAAACATTTTTCCAGGAACTGTTTTTTTTTTTTTTTTTTTTTTTT